CTGACTAGCTCTCAGTCACGGGGAAGTATTCAGACAAACAAGACGTCCCTGCGCGTCCGTCACAGAAATAGTCACGTGGCCTTAGTCACCTGTGCTGCGCTCTTGCAGTATAACATGTAAGTCTCATTCGATCTCAGATAGGGGTTAGATAGGGCAGTGATAAAGTTATTAAGAGCTAACAGTGAGTCAATTTCAGGGTTTCCGTCAGAACCCACTTGACTGCGAGAAATTGACTTCGAGAGTGATGACTGGAGAGATTGACTGCCGTTTGAGACTGCCGTTGAGGATTGATGATTGGCGATTGTCGCCGTTGGAACGATCAGTGCAGGCTTGTCACTGGTTAGCGGGGAGCAAAGGATCTCTTGAGTGAACGAGTGCTCCCGACAACTAAAACGATACGGGGCCAGCATCAGCATTGGGTGATCAGTTCTTACCACGTGGGTGCACAACACCACACCACGTGTCCTCGGTCAGATAGAAGTATTACCTACTGGCCATAGTCACCTATTGGCGTTCTCTCTTCCCGCCCATGGACGCACTGAGAGTACACTGAGGCTATCTGAGTAGATTTATGGTCACACACTGAGACCAGGAGTCTAGGGGATACCTAGAGAAACATTTTATCTCCCTTATTACGGGTGTATGTTGAATTGGGTGGAGCATGGTTCACGAGTATTGGTGGACCCAGTAACATCTCAATAATAGTGACAATATTTTTGTGTGTAGTTAATACCATTTTTCAGTTACTGATATTATCTTGACGTGTGTAGTAATAGTTCCTAAATGATTTTGATAGTATTGTTTTATGAATGTTTGTGTCACTAAGTGGAACCAGAGTGATACTGTGATTTAATTCCTTTAATGCATCTAATTTTTCTTTATAATTCCGATCTCAGGTATAACCTTTGTTCCCCAGAGTAGTGGTTAAGTTAGGTTAGGAAGTGTGCATCTGTTGGGGTGATATTATTTTGTTGAAAGCCCTTAAGGCCTGTTTCATGTGTGCAAGCAACATTTCTTAATACTTTAAACTTATTGTTCTCTAATGAGGCATTGCCTGAGTTTCTAATAATTTCAACATCATGTATAACTTTTATTCCCCAGAGTAGTGTTTTAAGTTCAAGTTAAGAGGTGCGCATATTGGTGTACCATTATTGATTGTGTTTGTAGTGTTGGAGGGAATATAAGTGTAAATTTTACAGTGTGTCTCATTCATCCCAGTCACAGACGCTATCCTTTGTGTCTTAAAGGTTTCAATAGTGAATCAATTTGTTGTGACAGCCTACGAGGTTCTTTAGTGTGTTAATATTTAATTAAATAAAATTCTTAAAGGTTTACTTTATTTATTTTTATTCCCTTTTAATTTATTTCACTTTTTTGGTTTGGTTTCACCTAGAACCTGGATATTAAAGTAAATTAAGAGACGGCATAACAATATATATATATATATATATATATATATATATATATATATATATATATATATATATATATATATATATATATATATATATATATATATATATATATATATATATATATATATATATATTTCATAAGCTCAATAAACACGCGGACTTCTACATACAATCAACACCTCAACCCGCCAGGATTCGAAGCCGGATTTGGTAAAACGTTACTCTGACCACCTACGTGATACGGGTAGTCCCCATTAGAGGTTCACGGCGCCATAAGCTCGTTGAACAGGCTTTGTGTGAAATATAACAGAGTCTAGGACTGCTTTCAGTATCCTGGTGGACCAGCGGTTAGCGTTCCCCGGTCACAGTCATATTTGACAGTTGGCGCTGAAGGCCTGGGTGTTTATTTATCATTACTTAAGAGTGACTAAGCTCTTCTCATAATTTGCCACCCAAACGACCTGGGTGAATATAACTTACATAGCTTGGATTCTTGTAAGATAGTAATTTATTTGAATACCTGTATAAACAAGCTATACAGGTATTTCCAATAGACATAACAATTTTAGTACCGTAATCATTTAGTACATGTACAATACAGGTTTGCACTTAGGTCCATCGTTAACCGAGGGACCACTGTATTGCAGTGAACATTTTACGACCATTTAGACCCACTAAATATATATATAATGTTATGGTAATTATCATAAACACACATAGGCATGGCTTGGTTTATTAGAAGGTGATGAAAAGGGTACGCTTAATACTGTAGTCCACAAAACATGTAGCTATGCTTTTTTTATTTGGTCCCCCGTCATACGAGTCTGTTATCTCTCATATCAGGACGCCTGAGTCCTCCGTTTTCTCTCTTAATCTTAAGAGTGCACCAGAAACTTTACTATTTTTAGTAATGCCACAGAATTTGAAATTGCAACCCCAATTGCAACTGGGGTTGCAATTGTTGAGGCAACTAGATATGTCTGATTACAGCAAATGTGTTATTGTCAATTTGTAGGTGAAAGATTTTATCCTCAATAGATGTAGGTTAACATTTCAACTGTAGGCAAATGCTTAAAAAAAGCCTAAGTAAGGAAGCATATTCCTTTAACACATAATATCTGACCAGTATGGGGAGGATCATCGTGTCTCCGTCAGGGGGTGGAGTGGTGGTCCAGCAGGCGTCACTTTTTTGGGGGGGACACGGACGTATATGCGATTGGACGTTGTTCGGTCGGACGTTAACCGGCGCATGACTGTAAATAGATAGGTTACACCACACCACCTGTTCAATTGCCCTGATCAAAACAAACCACCCCGCTCGCTGGTGTCATCAACTTGCACTACTGATCGTTATTGTGATGAAATGTATCGTTAATGTGTTGAGGTGTCGCATTTCATTACTGTTGTTATTGTGATGAATCAATGTGAAACTCGTTAAAGTGACGTATATACTGCAGCATGAAATTTCACCATAATTCCCATATTATTTAGGTTCATTTGGTGCTGGGTTAATGAAACATTATTGAAAAGTAAATAATTCCACCCCCCCCAAAAAAAAATCCCACTCAATCCCAGATGAGCTATTGTGCTGTACAGTGGTCCCTCGGTTAACGAAATTTCAGTTAACGAATTACCTTCCATAAGAATGTTAAATTCGGTTAATGAATTCCTTACGAATTCCTCTCAACATGTTTTCGCTTGCTCACCAGCTGGAATATTAGTCCGCCAATATAGTAATCGGTTCTAGGGCTTAAATTCATTCCCATTTGAGTAAATATCAAGAAGGTTGTACTATTCAATAATTTTCCAAGTTTTATATTAAATTTTTTAGTCATTTTAACAATTATTTAAGTGAAGTAGAGGAAACTAGTTTTTAGTGCGCCAAACAGTCACTCAACTCACCAAACAGGCCTCAGTTTGTATCTCTGGTCAGTCGAGGTAACATCTTGCTTGAGACTCTCTTGAACATAAACCATTTTTACATTTTTACAGTACAATTATTGGTCATTCTGAAATTTATTTTACATATTGACAATATATAGTGCAGTGCAGTGTTGATTTAAAGAAAATAATCTTGAATTACACCTAGTGAACTTAAAATTTTTTGGGTGAAATAACGGCATGAAGCATGGGGCGATTTCGCTTCCACCCCAATGCCTTCTCTTCTCGCTTCTCCTCCACCCCCACTTCTAATTCCCATCATCATCATCATCACCAGGAGCCTTCTATATACACACCTCAAAGTAAGTGCATTTTACTGCATTTATTTTTACTTTGTATATGTAATTTTTGGTGAGCTGGAACCAATTACCCAAAATCCCATTGAAACAATTGTTTCGGTTAACGAACGACCTTCTGGAACGAATTGTGCGCGTTAACCGAGGAACCACAGTAGTATATTCTCAATTCTTTTGTTTACAGAGTGGTAACAGCTGATCATTCCCACTGATCTACTCTCCCTAACAATGTTGCCAGCATTCACTATCTCCGTTTCGTTAGGGCTCACACAGCACAGTCTGTCATCATGGGCCTACGAAGAGATGTGAACATTGCAACATAAAATTTCATTGTATATATATAAATACAATTAGTCTAAGCATCACTCCACATATACCATTTGTATGTTGCCTCTTTTGGTCCCATGGGTCATATATGTCACACACCATTACAATAGCTTTCTCCTTTATGTATTTGAGAAAACCGACCGGTTACCCAGATTCGGCACAACTTTGAGATTTTATAGGTTCAGTGAGAGTAAATAAATAAAAATACATGCGTCTGAGCACTCATGTTTGTGGGCTAGCTATTTGCATACAGTACTATCTATTTTTTTTCCTCTGGCTTACCTTTTATGTAGAATAATATTGTTTTTCTTAGCTTATTATAATATGTGCAGCAAAAGATGAAACTACAGTAGTGAACATCCCATCCCATCTTCTTCTCAACAGCAAGAAAGAGCACCTGTCTAGAAAGCTGTCCGGATGGTAAGCAATGCCAAAGAAATTCACAAATGGAAAAGTCATTTGCCCAGTACAGCAGCATTGCAAAGTCTCCATTTCAGTATTTCATATACTTTTTTGATAATGACATTTTTTGCAAATGGTATTTGTTGACCAGTCAAAGATTTTTGCAGAGCATTGGCAAAACAGCCTAAAAGGATGCAGAGTGACTGATGATAAAATCTATGAAAAATTAGATGTGGGTCATTTGAAGAGAAAGTTGCAACACTTGATGGTATAGAGATGAGAGTAATAAAGTGGTGTGATAAAGTGTGTTGCACTGCATCCACATAAGCAGGTGGTGATCCTTTTACCATGGTGAAAAAATGGGATAAGAAAACTGTAGAAGACCCATAACCAGGTACCATTACACAACACACAGTACAAGTGATATCCCAGTTAGCTGGAACAATTGGTACTGAACTCTTCCGGGGCCGAGAGATTTCTGGGTAACTAGACGATTCTCTCAAACACAAAAAAATCCCACATCCCAAAAATATTTCTGGGTGCTGCGGAAAGTTTTCTGAGTCTAAACTATGCATCTCATCTCAACTCTAAACTATATACAGTCACAAACACTCTCCCATTACATCAAGACCATGGGCACGGTGTCTATTGCTTCATGAGGAAGAAGTTTTTCCAACTGAAACTGAAACAAAAAAATTCCTTCGCTTAAGCATGAGTTAGACAAGATTCACAAACCTGGCTTTGCTTTCAATTGAGCATGAATATGCAAAGAAAGTGAATTTTGATGAGGTCACTGACCGCTTTGCAGAAATTAAGACTCGAAAGCAGAGACTGTGAATGTTTGTGAATGTTTTTTCTATTCATCTTTGAAGAACATGCTGAGCCTTGAGACTAGGTTTTCTGTTACCTTTTTGAAAATTCTTACTGGTGATGTTTTCTCTGTGGTTGAAGATGTGTTTTTGTTATATCAATGCCATGCAGTATTGTCTGTTTGCATAATTTTTAATGTCCTGCATTTTTCTTATTGCCAATTTACTTACTACAGGACTGTAATCTGCTTGAAATTTTACTTGCAAACATTATATATTTTCTGTGTACAGTATTTAATTTTTAAAATTATTCATCTCAGGGGGGAGGGGGGTGCCAAAGGAAGGGACTGCTCTGGGTGTCAAATACTCTAGGTACGCCCCTGGGTCTCTGTCGCTTGAACTTCATTACAGTGACCCCTCGTTTAACGAACGCCTCGGTTAACGAATTTCTTACGAACCGACCTCAACATGTTTTCGCTTGCACTGACCGGGCAACCAGCTTTAGTATCAGTCCGCCAATACATTAATCGGTTCTAGGGCTTAAATTCCTTACTATTTTAGTAAATATCAAGAAGTTTATACTATTCAATAATCTTAAAAGTTTAATATTCAATTTTTTAGTCATTTTAACAATTACTGAACATAATTGAAGATAAAGTGACTAGTTTAATGCGCGGCATCCAGCCTCTTAACACATCAAACAGGCGTTAGTCTCTCTCTGTTTTCACTGGAGGTAACATCTTGCTTGAGACTCTCTTCAACTAAACGTTTTTTTCTGTGTTTCCAAGCACATTATTGGTCATTTTGAAATATATTTTACATATTGACAATATATAATGCAGTGCAGTGTTGATTTAAAGAAAATAATCTTGAAATATACCAAGAGAACTAAAATTTTATGGGTGAAATGGTGCCATGAGGTGACTTCTCTTCCACCCCAATGCCTTCTCTTCTTCCTTCTCCTCCGCCCCCATTCTAATTCCCATCATCATCATCATCATCCAGGAGCCTTCTACATACACACCTCAAAGTAAGTGAACTTTTCTACCATTTTTGTTGAATTTAGGAAATTTTCGGTGAGCTGGAACCAATTACCCAAAAACCCATTGAAACAATGGTTTCGGTTAACGAACTTTTCGGTTAACGAACGACCTTCTGGAACGGATTGAGTTCGTTAACCGAGGGGTCGCTGTAATTTCTACATCACGCGGAGGGAAAAAAAAACTTGCGTGTAAAGCAGGCCTTACGTCGGATTATGAAAGCTGCAGCTAGCCAACCTGGTTTGAAATAATACCAGTCTAAGTTTAACTATCCTGAAACTATCTGGGAGGTTAATCGTCAGGTGATCCACACCGGATAAAATTGTGAATTGTTTCGTTCTTGGTCTCACCTATATTACTGGTTTGTGTACATGTGCGAGTGTTCTTATATACTCTCTTCCTTTCCCTATTTCACTGTTCAATTTCTTTTTGATTATGGGGAATACTGTACTGTACTATACTCACCAAAGCTGCAAAAAGTGGAAGAGCTTGAAGAGTGCTCTTGGTTGATGAGGTATGTTCTTGTGCACCAACCCATGACCGACTAGATGGTACTGCAGTCTCAGGAGCGGCCGTCAGAGAGTAAGGAACTGATGGCTGATTGCGTGCAATATGAAGACAGTCTGTGAAGATGGAACAAATTTTACATATAGAAGATCTGCCAAACACAGATTCATTTAAATAAAACTTAAGCATCCTTTCCCACCAACATGTTTTGGGGATACCAAATGTTCTTGATTACTGAGTAATATAACAACTTCATTATGAGTGACTGTACCTTCTTGTAATGTCTTCCCTGGTTCACCATTACTACTCACCTATATAACATCTCCTCCCTCTCATTCCCAGCTCCAACTTTTTCCACTTCCTTCTATTTTCCAGCTTGTATATGTTACTTGTATCTTTTTACACAATTCATTTTTAAGATACTGTACAATAAAAGAGCCAACAATTTCAATGATGTGATTCCCTAATTATATAGGGAAATTTTCAATGAGTGTGTAATACTTTTAAGATTTTAACATTTAAAGGAATGCATTTAACAATTTTCTTTCTGTGTGCCCTAATCCTTGGAACAAATTTCTTCCTTTTTACTGATGTGATTAAGTACAGTTCAGTACTTATGAAAAAGAAGTCAAAATCATACAATGTTAAACAAGAAAGGAGTAGAAATATTCATTCATAATTGTTAATGAGGGGTAATGGTAATATCATTCAAGAGCTTATGGCTAAAAGAACTACACCACAAGCTGTTTAGCTGATTAGTCTCTCCTTTGTTCTCTTCTTATGACCCTTATTGTCTAGTGTTAGTACGGTAGAAGAGGAAACCAGAGTACAGTAAAGTACTGTATCTATTAACTGATACAGCAGTAACATATGTACATGTATCTCTCATACTATGTCCTGGGTTTGACTTCTGGCTCAGGACAGATGTAGGAAGGATGCTATCCAGTGAGACCCTTCCAAACATCACAGGTTTCCTTCTCTTCCAGAACCAACACTGAATTCATAACAAAGTAACAAAGAACAGCCCAACTGCTTGAATGGCTATTAAGCTGATAAAGTGGTGAAATTTTAATAATATAGTATACAGGTACTGGTAATGCCAGTAATACAAAACATAACAAAAGTTTAGAGCATTCTAATTATAGAATAATTTTCTTTTCTCTAATTTTACACAGATTATAGTACATGAGAGTAAATGAGGAGACATTAGACAATCAGGCAACTGGTTGAGTGAGTGTGTGATAACAGATACAGTACTTAGCCAATTTGACCAAGGATAGCTGACAAAACCATGAGATGCTCATTTATTTCCAGAACACCCTTAAGCCTGAAGCATCTAGTGTTAACATGTGGTCACCCATTCTCAGAGTGTATTAAGTAAACCCATTGTTGCTTAACTGTGCTGATTGGACGAGACGTGGCATTTCCAAAGTGTTACTTGTGAGTGATGAGATTTACTGTACTGCACTTGTCCTCACTTGAGTGTGAGGAGCAAGTTATATGGTGATTATAGGAGCACAATGGCACATGGAAAGATTATTTGTAGACTTCATAACACTGACAGTGTTAGAGAATTATGAAGTAAGTTAGTGTATTCGTAATTGCGAAAACTAATCACCAAACTGACACAAGTAATTTTTTTTTTTTTTTACGAGGAATAGCCCACCCAGGCACAGGTCACCAACCTGAGTATGGAAACACAGAAGAAGGCAGAGCATTCCACAGCTTGGCTGTGTGAGGAAAGAAGGACGTACTATAACGGATTATTCTAGTGGGCACTGCAGGCAAGACGAGTGTTACGAGCCCGCGGCCTTGCCGTCGGTGCACAGGATGCCAAATCCACCGAAAATGCTTTCCTTGGACGCATGTTCATGATAGTATCCACTTTATGTATTTATTCATTTTATGGAAGACTTTTGTTTCCAAACTTTTCAGTTGACAGATACTTTACTGTACAATACCAGGAAAAACCCTGCCATTATTGGTAGGGTCACATTGGATTACACCTTTCTGACATCTGTCCTGGGTCGAGGGTTGAACCCAGAGATATAAGGTTTTATAACCAACAGGTCATGTGTTTGGCTTGTGAAATCCAAAACACTAAAACATTTTTGTTAAATGGCATAATACATTATCAAGTCAGGTTTTGGTGCTTCTAAAATTTTCAGTATACTCATGTGACTCAAACTTTAAAACTGAAGTATTCTGCCAGTCCTCTCAGGTTTTGCTAAAAAATCATATTGACATTAACCACTCCTGTCCCTGCTGGAGGATAAGTAAAGGCCGAGGTGAATGTTGTGCAGACAGGTACAGTAACTGCCTGCCAGTATTTATCTTTGGCCACAGCACTTGCCTCATGTCCTACCAGCTGCTAGTACTCCCAGTCCACCCAGCTGTAAATGAGCACCTAAATTTAAAAGTTAAGGAATCAACTGAGTATTACTATGATAATATAATTATCATAGATGTTGGCCAAGCGTTCCATACTGTTCACTTTGCCTCAAATCTCACTCAATTTCTCATAAAGAATTATAAAATTATTAATCCACTGCATGGAGAAAGTTACCGGTAATATCTCAATGATAAGCATCTTTAATGCACTAAATTCACTTCAATAATATTCTTGGCTAAATTGATCAAAATTCAACTAAATTAAAGTTTGCTACACTTGTGACTCTATAAGTGACTGTCACTCAATGTCACTTGATTTGTGAAGGAAAAATGTAAGGTTGAGGTCTGAAATCCCATTTTATGATTGAGAGGAAGAAAAGTGACTTGTGAGATACATACCATTAAAACACTCTTTGGCAGAACCTACCTTTGGCCATAGGATCTTGACCATCTAAACTCAAAAATCTTTTAAGGGACTTATTAATTCACCACATATTAACTAATGAGCAATACAGATCTTAAGTCTGCATAATATTGACAAATCACAGTGCTTGAAACTGCAGTACCTGTAGTTATATTCTTATGGTCATAATTACAAAATTTTCTTTAATGAATTACTACTGTACTTTTAAAACAGGCATTTCTCATTATTCATTGCGGCATTGTTCATCTTTTCATAAGTTCACTGTCTGAAAATTAAATTACCATAGTACAGGTACAGTATCCTATATTCCCGTATTTACAAAAGGTTCTGTTCTTGAAAAAATTTCTTCAATCAAAACAAATTTTTCATTATAAAAGCTGACAAAAAAAAAGTGTTTTTTTTCACTGCATTTTGGTGTGACTAAAAAATCGAATGTTAAACTTAATATAAACCAAAAAAATATACAATAATGCATTAGAAATCTGATGAAGTTAATACAGGTATAAGGAAATTTATACAATTGAGTTAGCGGTAACGTGCACCTCTCTCACCAATATATGGATTCGAGTCCTCCTTGGCCCACACACATGTGGAGAGGGTGTTATCCAGTGAGGCCCTACCAAACATCACAGGTTTCCTGTACTGACACTAGAGAGACCAACCACCTAAATGGCTTTTAAGCTAAGAAGTGGGGGAAAAATAAATATATAAATATATAAACATACAAATAAATAAAATAAAATAAAATAATAATACTCACTGTTATGAAGCATCCAATCTGAGGTCTTCTCCAGTAACTGTTTCCGCTCACTCTTGTGTGTGTGCACCTGTTGTACACTTTTCTGATTGTTACTGGTTGTTTGAGTCCGAGGCATCTTGACTCTGATGCCCACGAGTGTTTTTTTCTGTTGTATGTGTTTGTTTCTGTACGTGGGTGTCTGCTGGTTTTGCCTGCTGTTGTCTGTGAGTGTATGTGGTATAACTTTCTTGTTTTTATCGCTGGGCATCTGTGGTATTTGCTGCTTACTTTCCAAGAATACCATCATCTGTCTCCTTTGCCTGTTGACCATGGGTATTTGTGCTTGTGGTTTATGTTGTCTGTTTTTTGCAGGTGATTGTGTTTGTAGTTCTTGTTTACTGTCATACTGGGGTATAGCTGTCTGCAGTATATGTTTGTTGCTGTTTGTGTGTTTTTGTGTCTGTGGCATTTCTTTGTTGTTTTCTTGGTGTGTTTGTGATAGCGACTCAAGAATGTTGTCTGTTACTGCTGGCGTCCTTGTGATTTCTTTGTTGTCTGGAGGTGTTTGCATCTGTGGTATTTCTTTGTTGCTGTTTTTGGGTACTTGCACATTTTGAATTTGTTTGAAGTTTTCTTTGGAATTTTGTGCTTGTTTTTTTCTTTTACTGTTTCTAAGTGGCCATGGGATTTGTTTGTTAAGTCTGTAGTTGGAGTGAAGTTGGACTGGCTGCTTGTTATACTTGGCCCGTGTTTGTTTCATTAAATTTGTATGCAAGCACAACCACATGAGTGTATTCCATATTTGTTTCCATGGACACGCATGAACACGAGTTGTATTGCTGATGCTTGTCTGTAATAGTGGTGAGAGATGTTCTGTGGACTGTAACTGAGTCAGAAACAAGAAGTAATTAAGAGTGTTGAGACACACTGACGAGGCAGAACTTATATCTGGGGGATGAGGAATGACACCAGAGGCAGGTAATGTGGCAAAGGTGGGCATAGTGTGCTGCACAGTGCAGAGGGTAACAGGAGAGATTACGGCTAGATGTGTGTGTAGTGAATGTGTGGTGGAGGGGTAGACTGCAGGCGTGGCGTCAGAGGCTGTGAGCGCTACGGCAGACAACACCACGACCAGGTGTATCATGGTGATGCCTCATGTCTCCCGCAGCTCTGGTGGACAGATGGAACCTGATAATTATTAGGTTTGGGGTCCCCTAGAGGTTTAGTATTACTGATTCCTGGGACAATGAGATGGGTTACTCCAGATGACCCTCCAAACACACACCTTCTATTACACCACCAACTCTCCAAACACACACCTTCTATTACACCACCAACCTCCAAACACACACCTTCTATTACACCAACAACCCTCCAAGCACACACCTTCTATTACACCACCAACCTCCAAACACAAACCTTCTATTACACCACCAACCTCCAAACACACACCTTCGATTACACAACCAACTCTCCAAACACACACCTTCGACACAACCAACCCTCCAAACACACACCTTCTATTACACCACCAACCTCCAAACACACAACTTATTACACCACCAACCTCCAAACACAAACCTTCTATTACACCACCAACCTCCAAAACACACACCTCACACCAACCCTTTATTACAACCAACCTCCAAACACACACCTTATTACACCACCAACCTCCAAACACACAACTTCTATTACACCACCAACCTCCAAACACAAACCTTCTATTACACCACCAACCCAAACACACACCTTCTATTACACCACCCCTCCAAACACACACCTTCGACACAACCTCCAAACACACACTTCTATTACACCACCAACCTCCAAACACACACCTTCTATTACACCACCAACCTCCAAACACACACCTTCTATTACACCACCAACCTCCAAACACACACCTTCTATTACACCACCAACCTCCAAACACACACCTTCTATAATTACAGGTATCCCTTGTTTAGCATTAATTCACTGAATGCTAATTCGGTTTAGTGATAAAATATTTTTCACATCCTTTCTCACTTAACATGAGTTCAAAATTTGCTTTAGCACTAGCTTCACCCACTGGGAAGGGGTACAAACTGAGGATGAGGTGGCCTGTGAGATGGCTTGTTGCCATTGTTACATGTAATGAAACCATAAAAGTTGTGGAAAAATCATTACAATACTGTACTTTAATGTGGCTTAGAAATTAAGAAAATAATATAAAACTATAAAATTAGAAAAATGGAAAGCATAGGTGGGTGGGTGGGTGGGTGGGTGGGGTGGGGTGTGTGTGTGTGTGTGTGTGTGTGTGTGTGTGAAGTGAACGTATTTGTTTAGGCAGTGAGCTGTAACTGCGTCATGAGCCCAGCTGTGCTCCCTGACTCAATCCCCCAATGTGACATCATGGCATACACACAGCTCAGTGCAACAGCAGCCACACATCTTTGGATCAGCTGGGTGACTGTCCAGCTGAAGTGTGTACAGTGCATCAATTTTATAGTTTACCATAGCATTTTTCATTTTTACTCTAAACCACCTTGTTTATATACTGTACAAGTTTGGTGTTAATAAATCAACTGTTTAACTTTGAAACCATTGATAACAAACTCATTTATTATTATTATTATTATTATTATTATTATATTAGGGAGTACAGTACTGTACTGTATTGATAAACCTCAATAAACACAGGGGTTAGGGTCCTCAAAAACCCATCGCTAAGTGAATTATCATAGATATGGACCATTATAACATGGGGCCTAATGGAATATGTTACCAGCCAGTCCCCAAACACACATGTATCACTGACAAAAAAATTCCTAAAATACTACTACAGTACAAAACAATTAAACTACACTCACCACATCATAATGAACAAGCCTGTCTATCACATGCCCCCTTTGAGGCCAAGGGGACTCTTTTGCACGTGGAGTGGAGACATCACTCTGACTCCCACACAGCCTCTGGGGAGTCTCACGCTGCTTCACCTCAAAGACAAGGTTGCCTTGGATGCCTTAGCCTTCCCAGACATTTTCAAAGTTACACTCTTCACTTCACAGTGATGATAAATATAAAAACAATGATAGCAACTGGCACTGCTCACATCATTTTCACAACAACAGAGGCCAAGCACCTCACAGTCACAAAATAACAGAAAATATAATTTCACGGTCACCATCAGGTTAAATATTGTTTCCTTATAAAATGTTACTGACTCCAAGCAGAAAAGTATAATTTGCATTGCTGGAATTCTTTCAAAACAGCGAATAGTTTGAGTAAACTGTACTGTATATACAACCCATAGTTTGCATTAGAGATGAACAAAAATTCCAACCTATGGATATCAATGGATATCGTTAAAGTGAAATATAACTGAACGGGACATCGTATATCGAGGTGTACCTGAACTCAGTGTTTACCACCCTGCCCTTTGAAACTGTTGTTCACCCTCAATACTTTGCTGTTATCCCTCGTTTAATGATTTTTGTTTAACGTTAGGTTTTCAGGAACGCAACCCAATTGTTGAATGAGGGATACCAGAGGTATCTCTTGATTTACATGCGTTTGGTTTGTGTGACTTTTACAATAATGCGAGTGGTCCATTTACAGTAATCGTCCAGGATATGGAAGGGATGCATCCTTAAAAAGTTGACCGTAACATGAACCCCATTTTCCCACTGACTTCCATTATATCAAACAGGGAGGTACTACTGCCTGGGAAGATATTGGAAGTATAATGTGTTGTCTAATGGTGGACCCTGCTGCCATATGGCATCACAAAAAAATTGTGACCAAGTTCCAGGTTGGTGATCTGACTTTCTGCCTCATTTACACACAATTGCAGTCTCAATTGTTTCTCTTACTTTGAGAACACAACATACATACAGTCAACCCTCAATTTACGAGGTCCCACATTCCGCGTTTCATCGCACACACATCCTTGACCACCGAAGGGTCAAGACGTACCTGGCGCTCCTCTCGGAGCAGCCAGGTCAACTGTTAAGTTGGCCCATACCAACCCCTTCCCCTGAACCCTCCTCCCCACCGGAATATCAACAAGTTCTCGCCAGAAGTTACAATTTCATTTAGGAAAGGAATGGAACCAGTGTTAAACAGAGGTGAACAGTGGTGAACAGTGCTTAAGTCAGTGAGAACAACTCAACAGTAACAGTCGTACCCAAGTTAACCTTCACACAGTGAGGTCCCAGGTACCCAGTGATAACGGCCGCTGAGACCCAACAACAACCAGCGATGTGTTAATCCGTCTACGATAGGAAGGCCTGGGACCAAACCTCACTCATATAACACCATCTGTGAGGGAATTACTACACCACATGTCCCTCATAACACAATATGTGAGGGAATTACTACACCACGTCAAGTCCCTCATCACACCATCTGTGAGGGAATTACTACACCACGTGAGGACCCTCATAACACCATCTGTGAAGGAATTACTACACCACGTGAGGCCCCCTCATAACACCATGTGTGAGGGAATTACTACACCACGTCAGGTCCCTCATAACACCATCTGTGAGGGAATTACCACACCACGTCAGGTCCCTAATAACACCATCTGTGAGGGAATTACTACACCACGTGAGGACCCTCATAACACCATCTGTGAGGTAATTACACCATGTGAGGTCCCCCATTACACCATCTGTGAGGGAATTACTACACCACGTGGTCCCTCATAACACCATCTGCGAGGGAATTACTACACCACGTCAGGTCCCTCATAACACCATCTGAGGGAACCACTACATCACGTGAGGTCCCTCCTAACACCATCTGGGAGGGAGTTACTACACTACGTGTTTGCTGTTCAACACGTACAATCCTACATTAATCTGTATGTTCACTGTATGTTCCTTTACCTTTCTCTAATGAAGGCTTTTGTTAAACCACCAATGTATGTAATAAGTCATTTGTGTCCAATGTATATTTTCAGCCTTCGGGCTGCAAACTTTTTCAATAAACCGTTTATATGGTTATTATTATTATTATCACCTCTGCCGAAGTCCGAGATTACATTCATGTATGTAATTCTTTTTACGCGGAGAGTGTCCGGCTCGACGCTATTTTTAGATTCCGCCTCAACCGCCTCCTCCGCCTCCGCAAGCCGCGCGGTAAGGTTGCGCAGTGCATGTCTCTGTTGCATTATCAGTGACGTCATATGACGTATCGGACTGTGATTGGCCATGCATCCCTACCTCCTCTCCTCTAGCTGTAATTGGTTTAAAGTAATATGACGTGTCCACCCGGAGGGAGGGAGGGAGGGAGGGAGGAAAGACGACGCTTGACCGAGCCGCAGCAGTTTCATCCCTCCAGGCCACACCGTGTAATCGTGCATCCATTGTTCTGTAAAATGGCTTCCGCCGGACCACAGCCCCCAGAGAGAAACCTTTCCTTACCTGGACCCAGCCGCCCTAAGCCCAAGAAGACACGGCGTTCCTTAAGCTACAAGGTGAAGTACAAAATCATCCAAGAGTTAGAGAAAGGAACAAGACAGGTTGATTTGGCGCGCCAGCATGGTGTGAACGAATCTACGATCCGAACGATAAAGAAGGATGCAGCCAAGATAAAGGAGCACATGAAGATCACAAAGTCTACAGGTGCTTCTATGATCAAGTATTTTCACAACCAGGTGCTTCTCAAGACGGAAAAATTACTTGTGAGCTACTTGGTGCGTCAGGCGCGACGGAACATGGCGGTAGACACGAGCTCTGTTAAGGAGTACGCACGTGAACTGTATGCTGCAGTGTCACAAAAGATGGAAATTACAGAGCCCAAACCCTTTAATGCTTCCTCTGGGTGGTTACAGAGGTTTAAGATGCGGAACAAGATCACCAATATAAACATTGGTGGTGAAGAAGCTAGTGCTGACCGTGCTGCGGCTAGGGAATTTCCTCCGTTTTTACGTGAAATTATGGAGGAAGGACAGTACACCGACGACCAGGTGTTTAACATGGACGAATCTGGTCTTTTTTGGAAAAAGCTACCTTCCAAGACCTTCGTTGTGAAGAATGCCAGCAAGATTCGGGGCAGGAAGATGCAGAAGGAGCGCATCACCGTCCTGTTTACCACCAATGCCTCCGGTACCTATAAGCCAGGGGTTCTCAACCAGGGGGGTATTCCCCCCAGGGGGGGAATTCAGGTTTTCAGGGGGGAAACTGATTCGGGAGCAAGAGATATGTTCGATGAGAAATCAATCACAGAATTTTGGCCCTTGATGTGCGATTCCTACCCAAAAGTGGCAGAAAGAGCTATCCGTGCATTGCTTCCGTTTGTGTCGACATATCTTTGTGAGTCAGGCTTTTCAACTCTGTTGCAAATTAAAACGAAGCAACGTAGTAGATTAGAGGTAGAAAATGACCTGCGTTGTGCCCTTTCAAGCACTCCTCCGCGTATCCCAGAATTGGCGAAGAAAAAACAATCACAGGTTTCTCATTGACTGTAATCTTCATCTGAATAAAATTAATTACAAATTTACAATATCCTGGTATTCTATTGAACTTTTTGTTTATTGCATTATGCTTCAGTTTGGTCTGTTATGTAATTCATTATAAATATAAAAAACTATTTTACTTTTATTCAAGTTTTATAAATCCATCAACATTTTCAATTGGCATTTAATTTGTAAAACTCCACTATAAAAATAATCCATGTAAAATTGTAAATGCATATGTACTAATATGGAAAAAATAGAGGATTTTCAGTATTATATGCATATTATTTGGAATGCACTTTTTGAGGCAGACAATCTTGGGGAGGAGGGGGGAAACAAGGTTGAGAACCACTGCTATAAGCTCAAGTTATCGGTGATCCACACAGCCCACAAGCCGCACAACCTACAAGAGCATGGACATGACCAAGCTAAATGTCCACTGGCTGACCGCACGTAAGGCGTGGATTTTCTCTACACTGTCCCTCTCCTGGTTTGATGACTGTTTCGTTCCCGATGTAAAGAAATTCTGTGAGCAACAGAATGTGCCATTCAAGATTTTGTTGCTGCTGGACAACGCACCAGGACACTCGCCCCTACTGTTAGATCGTCACCCCAACGTAAAAGTGGTCTTCCTTCCTCCCAACACTACGTCTATATTACAGCCCATGGACCAAGAGTTAATCTGTAATGTAAAAGCTGCATTCTCAACAAAAAAATTCAAGCTCCTGAACGACTACACCAACACCAGGGAAGAGTTGCGTAACCTGAGTGACACCACCACCGACAGCAAGAGCGAAGATGACGAGGATCAACAGTTGGCAGAGTAAAAAATACTTTTCAAACAATTCTGGAGAATATTCAACATCAAGAAAGCTGTGGACTTCTTGGTGGAGGCATGGGATCAGCTGTCTGTAGCAACTGTTCGTCACGCATAGAGACATGTGTTGCAAGGCATTCCGGGCGTAAGGCAGAGTCAATCTGTGACTGGTGAGGTTCAGACTGTTGCAGTAGCAGTGGACC